GGAAATGCCCGGTGGTCCATGAACTGTTTACCATCAAGAGTTTGGCTGGGAGAAAAGAGAGAGGGGGGGTCTCGGAGGCCATAGGACTCGGGTGAAGATGGCGGCAGCCGAGGCCGCGAACTGCATCATGGAGGTTTCCTGTGGCCAAGCAGAAAGTAGTGAAAAGCCCAATGCTGAGGACATGACATCCAAAGACTACTACTTTGACTCCTATGCCCACTTTGGCATCCACGAGGAGATGCTGAAGGATGAGGTGCGGACCCTCACATACCGCAACTCCATGTTTCACAATCGGCATCTCTTCAAAGACAAGGTGGTCCTGGATGTGGGCTCCGGCACCGGCATCCTCTGCATGTTCGCTGCCAAGGCAGGGGCTCGCAAGGTTATTGGAATTGAGTGTTCCAGTATCTCCGATTATGCTGTGAAGATTGTCAAAGCCAACAAGTTAGACCATGTGGTGACCATCATCAAAGGCAAGGTGGAGGAGGTGGAGCTGCCTGTGGAGAAGGTGGACATCATCATCAGCGAGTGGATGGGCTACTGTCTCTTCTATGAGTCCATGCTCAACACTGTGCTGCACGCTCGCGACAAGTGGCTGGCACCCGATGGCCTCATCTTCCCAGACCGTGCCACCCTGTATGTGACAGCCATTGAGGATCGACAGTATAAAGACTACAAGATCCACTGGTGGGAGAACGTGTATGGCTTTGATATGTCCTGCATTAAAGACGTGGCCATCAAGGAGCCCCTGGTGGATGTGGTGGACCCAAAGCAGCTGGTCACCAATGCCTGCCTCATAAAGGAGGTGGACATCTATACAGTCAAGGTGGAGGACCTGACCTTCACCTCCCCCTTCTGCCTGCAAGTGAAGAGGAATGACTACGTGCATGCACTGGTGGCCTACTTCAACATAGAATTTACCCGATGCCACAAGAGGACCGGCTTCTCAACCAGTCCTGAGTCCCCATATACACACTGGAAGCAGACTGTGTTCTACATGGAGGACTATCTAACAGTGAAGACTGGCGAGGAAATCTTTGGCACCATTGGAATGAGGCCCAACGCCAAAAACAATCGTGACTTGGACTTTACCATCGACCTGGACTTCAAGGGTCAGCTGTG